AGCTTTATATAGCAAACTTAAATCACATTTTAGCTTCAAATTTTGCATGCTCAGCGTCGTTTATTGCTGACAGGAACACCAATGCAAAATGATCTGGAAGAATTCTATTCATTGGTTAACTTTGCACGGCCAGATCTTTTTATCTCTTTCTTGGAATTCAAAAATCTTTGTGAAATGGAGGTATCGTTAGATAAAATATACCTTCTCATAGTCATTAACATATAATTTATAAGCTTTAAATGACCTAGTGATGTTTAGTGTTTGTTTGAACTCTCAACTTCTTGTATCATACGTTTTCTTCGCAACCTTAGAGACAAGTAAAGCATTTAGCAGAACTATTTCTTAGTCAAGTAAGTGAATATTGATGCATAAATTTAAGAATGTTTTGACAGTTTTGTTGACTGTTTAACAACAGATATTTTAGTCAACTCGTTTCAATGAATTGCTCTCCGAGGTGATGCTTCGCCGAACAGCTGAAGTGATCCATGATTTGCTACCACCAAAAAGTTTATAATTTTGATAATAAATTTCAATTTTAACAGAGCTAGATAATTAGACAAATCAGAGATAATTTAAAAAACAAGTTGGTATAATGAAGAAAGATTCAATGAATGAATCGAGTTTTAAAGTGTTGCATAGCTTTTTATAGTAACACTTCAGATCTTTCAGCCAATTCTGTTTCTGTACTACTCATTTCGAGAATGTTTTTCTCCTTATAGCAGAAGTCAAAAAAATATATAAAAATCAATCAGCGAACTATTAATAACAAAACATTTCGTACTTTTTAGTTGATTATATAGTTTGGTGTCGACCATCAGCGTTGCAATGCTCTATATACAAAAATTTGAAGAAATTCCTTCCATACGATCACTTGACTTTGATTGATGCCTTACGAAAGTTATGTAATCACCCGTTTCTTCTTTATCAGAGTATGGTAGTGAAACGTCAAACTTGTAAGGTGGTTCATTTTACTTTATAAGTTTTTAATTGTGGTGTATAATGAATTACCCGACATTGCTCCGAATGCTGAGTGACTTATTCATTACTTTGGATGCAGAAAACTAACTTTCAGTACCTTAAACTATGAACTTCACGTGTCATCAAATCACAGCCAGTGATTTGGGGTAACCTACATCTGGAACTTTTTCACACATTTACATAATTATATTTAGTGTGGAATGAAATGATTTAGAGTTATTTCCAGGTGGAAGAAAGGGAATTTTATAATGCATTTCTTCAATCATTTCCAAATACTTTCAATGCTTTTTCTCTTTCAACCACTGACTCAGGTATTCGACATTGTTTCATAATTCCTTATTCTTTTGAGTGTTCATCTTTTCCATAAGTTTTCCTCCATTTCCTCTTTTTTTTTTACTTCACTGGAAATGCATGTAATGTTTTCTATTTTCTCAGGCAAGCTTAATGTGTTTGTCGAGTTACTGGCAACATTTCGGGAACAGGAAGAAAAAGTGGTCATTGTTTCCAATTTCACCCAGGTTTGTTTTTTAGTGCCGGAGAAAATGTAAGGAATTCAAATTGAGATTTTTTAAGTGCAATATCGAAGTTAATTTCTACTTTACCTTTTGTTTCAACAATTGAGGAATGTTAACATTATTGGTTTTAAGCGCTACTTCATAGGAAAAAGCAAATTGTATCAATAGGGAATCTTTCACGACCCTTTTTTTAGACTCTTGATCTCTTGGAGGAGCTTTGTCGAACTTTATATTATACTATTCTACGATTAGATGGATCAACAGAAGCGAAAAAAAGAATGGAAATTGTTGAAGAATTCAATTCTTTATCAAATAAGAATTATGCATTCTTATTGAGTGCTAAAGCAGGTGATTTGTGTTGCAGTCGTGGCTTCAGCTGTTTATGGTTTCATATTTTCCTTCTTACATCTGATAAATTCTCTAACAGGTGGACTTGGCTTAAATCTCGTTGGTGCTAATCGAATGATTTTGTTCGACTCGGACTGGAATCCAGCTGTGGATATGCAAGCGATGGCTCGTATTTGGCGACAAGGACAAGAAAAACCATGTCACATTTTTCGACTTATCACAGCGGTAGTATCTTAGACTTACACTTCATTTAGTAACTGTGCTATTCCTTATTGCTGTTAATATAGTTGTTGTGATAAATGAAATTATTTGGCATTGTTATAGCAATTTTTTAGGGTACTGTGGATGAAAAGATTTTGCAAAGACAAATCAAAAAAAGCAGTCTCAATACAATAGTTGAAATGGTCCCAGTTGAATGTAATTTTTACCTTTATTTGCAACTGTGCTTTTTGCAGTCACACTTTTTTACTGATGTTATACTATTCAGTGGAATAGCTAAGGTCATTTCCTACATATCAAAATGTTATTGCCAAAACTGTATGAAGTTTAAAATTTTAGCACTTACGCATTTTTCTGATGAAGAATTGCAAGATGTTTTTACACTTCGTGATGATGCTGAATGTGAAACACATTTTTTATTGGAATGCCAATGCGACGGACGTGGTTTTTTGCCAGAAGAACTGGAAGTCGATCAAGAAATAAGTTCTGATGAGGTTAATTTTAAATTTCAGTGCAGAAAAGTTAGCAGCAACACTAATTCTATTTCATTTAACAATTTGCTATGATGAATTGTAAGTGTTGGATTTATAGAATTCTGCATTCTATCCGGATGTTGAGCATGTTACTACATACAGCGAAGGAATGGATGAAAATTACGACCACACGTCAGTTGCAGAAGATTCTCTGCAGCCATCATTAAATTCTTTAATGCAGAATTGCATCGATACGATCCATTTTGCTTCCACTACCAACGAAGTGCATGAAGATGACGCTGGAAATAAAATATTGGGAGACGAAGCGGCATTATCATCGGTTTGTCAGTTTTTCAAAACTAAACCAGTTCTGGACTTTGGAATTGAATTAAATCTATATGGTGCCTGTCTTGCATCCATATGTAACTCAAACGTGAAATTTTGACCAAGACAGGAAATCAGTTCAGTTCAGCTTGATGTAAAAAAAAAAAACTTATTCTTTCAAATTTAGAGCGCGTTGATGGGAACATTGATGCGTTGGCAGCATCACTCCCCAAAACATGACCAGTTTGAATCTTTGAAAGCTGAGGCTGATTTGGAAGAATGCTGTCTAGATGAAGTTTCGTTCATAATGAAGTTGGTCTCGAATTTCTGATTGGTATCTCTTCCGATTACTGTTGGATAGCTTGAGAAATTATCCAGCTCGCAATTTTTTTTTTTTTTTTTTTTGCCTCTTGTTGAATTACTTCCGTTTAATACTGTCTCATTCGAGTATTTTGAAGTTTATCTCAAGTCCACTTGAAGAATCCATGTTGCGTTTTATCTCATGTTTTTGTGAATATTCCGTATTAAATAAATTCTTAAATCATTTCGCCAACTTCTGGAATAACCTTATATCTTAATTCGAATAGTTATATTTTGCGAAATTGAGATATTTCAAAAAATCTACGCCTTTACTGTGATAATTTTAAAATGAACAGCGAAAACTTTTATATATGCCGATATATATAATATATCGACATATATAAAAGGAAAAAAGTGGCGGGAAACCCAGTACGTAAGTTTTTTAAGCCAGTTTGGAAAGACAAGTACTACTAAATTTATTACCTTCATAAGGGACGTTTACTAAAAAATTATGTCGCCTAGTATTGGAGTATATCAGTCCACCTTAACAATATTTATGTCAAAAATGTTCAAAGGAAGCTTAATTGATAAATAAGTGAGTAAGTACTTACTGTCAAGTACTTATTTTTGAGACGAAGAAGCAATGAAATACAACTTGAACATATTTAGACAACCTAAACAGAGATAGATAAATGTAAATACACAGCATCGATATGTATCTCATACTTTCAGAAAAGCATGTTTAAAAAACGAAGAGAATAGCTTTTAAAGCGAATGTAACTAAGTGGAAACGACGATTGGAAATAGCTAAAAATTATATGACGAAATACAGCATGCGATCCACATTGCAGATCAGCATATACTTCATCAGATGGTCTGGAGTCGATTAAATAGGGAATTCCAAAGTAACGTTTGCGGTATGTATGCTGATTCTACTCATCTTTCATAGTTTCAAAGTAAAACATATTAAAATAACAAAATTAATATGCAAAGATATAGTGTTTCGAAACGTTTTCAAATGTTATTTAAAAAAAGCAGACAACATGGTAGGCAGCTCAAACAGCTAAAACAAGGCACTATGTAAATATTTGTTGTCAGCAACACAATACTTGGTGATGCGGATAAATTCAATTATAATGTTACTCAGCAATTGCATGTAAACCTAAATCAACTAAGAATTTGAGGAAGCGAATAAATCCCTCTGACAGACAAGTAAAATGATTTTCACTGCATTGCTCAGACGGAAAATTAAAAAGAAATGAGAATGCAGTTATAAAACTGCTTCTCCTCCACCCGTTTCAAGAAACCAAATGAAACATCGATGTACATTCATGAATTACAAATGTATGGTTTTTGACAAAGAAAGGAACGTAAATTTTTCTAAGTACTTTTAAAACCAAAATAAATGAATCTGATTCGTGCTGTTTGTTACTCAGAAATTCAGAAACAGTAAACTCTTCAAAAAAACCTTTCTTAGGATAGTATTTTAAAAATGCTATAAGGGAAATTATTACTGGGGCCTAAAAATAAAGTTAATGTAAAAAAATATTGATTTTCGAATTATTTTATATGATTGTCACTGTAAATTATTCGTAATCTTTCTGTGAACAATCGACAGATACTAATGTTAAATGGAAATTAATAGGTAACACTTAATTTCCTGAACAATAAACCTAATGTCCCGAATATTTCTAGTTAATAACTACTCACTCATAGCAGAACTTCAATAATAAATTACGATATGCACAGATCACTGTCTGATTCACATTAAGTAGGAAGAATACAATAACAAAGAAGACACAACGTGTTGGATATTTGTTTTTTCTTAGTATTAAAGTCAAAATCACTTGCCAGCTTCAATGTTCTTTGTATGCTGAACTGCTGCTGCTGCCGTTTCTCCATTGGTTTTTGTCCCCGATATATTTTCCATCGAGATGTGTCGGCTGATTTTATCAGCTTTTCGCCATAATGTCATCTCCTCAAAATAAACATGAAGCTAGAAATTAAATCTGGAAAATCCCAGTTTCAACTAATTATGAAGAAAACAACACCTAATTAATCACTGGATCAAAATGGATCGATAGTTTGAGACGTAATATACACTTCAGTCGAATGTCTTACTTGCTGCTTGAAGTAACGACGATCTTCTTCATCAACCAAAACGAGGTTTAAATAATAGCGAACTGAGAATTTTTTGCCAACATCACGCATCGTTGGCGTTAAATCATAACCAGCAAGAAAAAGACGTATTGGAATTGATTCACCTGAAAATTACTTAATTCATTTCAATTACTTAAACAGTCTGAGAGAAGATGGCTAAAAAACTACGTGTACAGTGAAGCCAGGCAAGGAAAAAACTTTAGATTCTCAAATATATGGTGTACTTCAGTGTTTAACAAATGGTAATTGACACTGCTGATTTAATCACTAATAGCAGTGACATTCTAAACAGAAAATTATGACTATACTATCAAAAAAAAAAAGAAAAAAAAAATGATAATTCCTACCTCTTACAGGTGCACCATCCATTATTTCATATTTTGCTATTGTTTCATTCTCATTGAAAATATTTGGCGAATTTCCTACTGTTTCTCGTTTGATTATTGCAATCTCCATAAACTTAATTTTGATCCGAACTAATAAGAAGTATATCTTCCCAACAATTACATCCTTCAGGTGATATCTGCAATCTATTATTTTCAACAAGGCACAATGTTTCTGTTGCTAAACTCAAGCGATAAATAACTCCACATTTATAAGTCCTTGTTGTTATAGTGATCTTTTAAAAAACCGATTAATGCTCTGATATACACATTCAGTAATTTCGTTCAACAAACATGCAACTGCTTACATATTCCTAATACTGTTAATGTATTATCTACCAAAAAAATAAAAAACACTTACTTGGAGCGATTATATTCAAATTCAATGTGCAAAGAATCTTCAATACCAACTTCCATCTTGATACTGCTATTTGTATCCGGATAAGAAGAAAGTGTATGTACAATAACATCCATTTCACGTATTATATCGGTTAACCTTCGCACAATGACCACTCTTAGAAAGTAGCTGGAAAAACATATGCACTATTAATATTTTATTGCTGCACTGTTATTGAAATCCGATCTCTTCGATTACTGAGACTTCAACAGTTCTTAATTTCTCAACCAAAAAAATAAAGATTCAAAACATTTTGAATGCCTTTTTGTTTCTGGTCTTTTTTTAACAACAAATGTGCAGTAACGAAAATAAAAAAGAAAAAAAAAAAAAAAAAAAAAAACATACCGCAATTTCACATTTGCACCAACATATGATTCATATGGTTTTTCAACTTTTGGAAATTCGAATCGAAAAGCCACATTTTGCGTTAGTTCACCTGGACGAGCCAACTCTTTCATCAACGTTATAAAATCATGTTGATTACCACGATCATAATTTAGTTCTAAAAGGAATATTACAAAAATTTTAAGGTCAAACATTTATGGTATGACAGGACCAATAAAAGTCATATAAGATTACACTTACAAAAAAGATGCTTAAGAAAGGCAGACAATGGATAACTTGGATTCTGTTTGCAGTTCTGAACAGTACCGAAAGTTTCTCAAAAACAGTTTAAACTATTTAATGATGAAAGTTTTCGAGCCAAAAATCATGTCTAACCCCAGTTAATTTCATAATTTTTTATTAAATTTCTGCTTTTTATTGACTAAACTGAACGTTGCTTATCATTCCAATTACATCATCAATGTAATGAGAAATTACTGAAAAGGTTTCATCAAGAAAACTTCTGAAACTCGAGCACGATATTTCCTGTTTACATATCATGGAAAAAAAAACCGGCCATTTGCTGCAGAAAGCTAACAGTACAAAATTAAACAAAATTATAAAAAAAAAAAAAAAAAAAAAACAACACACCAATTTGTCCAATAAATTCAATTCTTATCCCTTGATGATCAAATTTCTTCTTCACTGCAACTCCCACAGTACCAGATATTGTTTCACCATCATAAAATAGAAAATGCGTTTCTTGTCCCCCTTCTTCACAACGTATTTTGGCTACCTAGAATAACCATTCAGCTACCCAAGGAACAAAACCACTGCAAGGGCTGAGCCGGTGATCGAAACCGGGACCTCTCGCACCCGAAGCGAGAATCATACCACTAGACCACTCAGCCATACCGTCCAACTCCTACAAATCTCATCTCAATGCAATCAAACCTCGGTAAGCCTTCAACGAGCATGAAGAAAAAAAAAACAAGTAACCAACTTTCCTATTGTCTGCATCATCTAATTTAATCGAAATTTCTGCAGCTTGACCAAATCCAAAGAAAGCCTAAAAGACAGTTTCTTTTTTTTCATCAACATGACATATATAGTTTTCCTTATAAGCCATAATACAACAATAAGTTTATGAGACTATTATTTATATTTATATGCATCTTGAATATACATAAATAAATAATTGTTAAACTTTTACCATTATGAAAGATCGTTTCCAAATATTTCCAGCTTGGTAATGATAGATTTGATAATACTTATAGTAAATTTATAAATATATAAACATATTAAACTGAAAGTTGTGAAATACATCATACAAAAAATCATATGAAATCTGTTAAATATTTCCAGAATACTCAACCATAAATTGATAACTTTAAAAGAAGCATAAATGAATATAAATAATCTATTCATCTTGATAAATCATGTACTTCTTCAGAAAATTTAAAGTTCATGAAGTTTATATTTGATAGTAGCGAATCAATCACTGTGCAATGAAGTAATTGAGCTGTTACTCGTAAAATCTCTAAATTTTTGTGAATTTATCTAAGACAAAACTGATATATAACATTATTAATATAGCACTGATACTTATTAAAATAATTCGAACAATTTAAGTGAATTAAAATATTGCAGAAATCATACTGTAGTCCCTATCTCATGTAAATTATAAAAAAACCTTCAACCCCGTTGCACCTCCAACTCCCAGACACCCCCGCCCTCTTCCCTTTTATCATACCGACCAGACAGATCTAAGCTTACCCATGAAACAACTAGCAAAAATGCGGTCCAAAGCGTTATTGTGCAGTGCGAAATGCAAAACTTTTGTTTCAACACATATACAGCATATAATTTTATATTTCATTTATGTATGTTAAACTGTTCTTTTTTTAATTTTAATCACACACTGAGGTGACTTTTCTTTGTATTTTAAATGATTTATAAAGAAATCTGTTAAGTTATATCAAAAATTATACTTAAGCTATTATAACACTTAGGTTATCAACCAACTAACTAACATAATTAGAATGATGAATTGGATTCGTTGAACTTTATCTTTTTACAAAATTAATTATTTAATGAAGTAATGGAAATTTAAAATATAATTGATAGATTATTCGTTTTTTTAGCTTACTTAAACTTCAACAAATGATTTTCTATATATAAAAATGAATTGTCTATTTCATATTATATATTTCCTATTTTCATATATATTCATACTATATGTTTCATAAATATATTTCCCTATATATTTTTCTATTTATTCTACATTGTTGCCTTATTATTTTAGTAAATTTTTGAGCCTTATATTGCTTACGTAGAAATAGTTGAAATTATCATATCATTTCATCTTTTTTCGGAGGAAAATTTCAAATAGACCAGGAATGAAATTTAAAAACTTGCATGAAAGAGTAAGCATTATAATCTATTTGTCTGATATTTGATCATTTTGTTATTTCATCGAATAGATCGATAAAGGAAAAAAAGCGAAAACAAATTATTCCTTTTCCTCGAAACATCTAAAATTTTTAACATATAGTTGTTTTCTCCCTCTCTCTCTGTTTCTTCTCTCTTTCTATTTTTGTACTTCTATCTTTTTATTTGTTGACTTTCAATTTTTTGTTGTTTTGTATATTTGTTGTTTTATACTATTTTTCCTTTATAAAGCTCTAAGATGCATAGAAATTTCTGAACAGCTTCGTTTATATTTAAATATTTCATTGTTTTAGAAATATTTAATAAATTTAAAACATGAATTTGCAAAATTTGCATATGTCTAGAAGATGCATGATAGAATTTCTCCCATTTTTCATATTGATAACTTTAATCATAAGCTATATATTATCAACAGAATACACCAATTATCATATCAGCAAATTACAATATCACAGCGCAAATGGAATATAATATTAATCTTATTTTAATAATATTATAACAACAAAAGAATTCTATTTGAATGAAAAAATTTCAATGTTAAACTTGAAATTTAATATCTATTAAGCTAGAAAATTTCAAATATTGCTATGTAATGCTAAAATATTTTGTTTATTCTCAAAATATTCATTTCAAATTCTATTGCTTAAAATTATTATGAAAATTTTATTACTATCCAAAAAAAAGATGAAACCACAATGTACTTTGAATAAAATTAAGCGCAAATGTATTTTCACATCTTGAAATACTAACAAAAACATACAAATATTTCAATTATAATTTAAATCAATAATACCCGAGAAAAAAATTTTTTGCTTAACATAAAAAATACACACAGTAAACGAGATCCAACAAAAGTAGCAAAACTATTAAATGATATTGAATGAAACAATTATTAATAGTAGCAATTGAATTTAATCGTTTCGCGAAAAAAAAAACTGGAAATTTTGAAAAACTTTTGACCAGAATGGACTTAATCAGTAATAATTGTCAATAACATTTTACATTCCAAATTTTCTAATAGCATTAAAAGTTGTTTTGGAAAATAATTAATAATACTGTTTCATTCTTAAATTTACATCAAGAAAAATTCTAACTTTAAATAGCCAATAAATATAAAATGAATTTTCTCATACTTTAATTTTCTCTCAATTTTCTTAAAATGAATTTTAGCACTAAATGTAATTGTTATAATGAAACGCAGCAATTGTAGTTATAAAGAAATATTTCTTTCTTTTTTCATCCATTTTTAAATTTAACATTATAAAGTCATATAATTTCATTTTTTTTTTTATTTCAACTAACCCAGGAATATCATCCTTTTTAATTTTTTTTTTTTTTTTTTTCAACAGTAATAGTAATAATTACTAATGAGAAAAAAAAATACAGATGAGGTCTTTTAGTAAGCATTGATAATAAGGCACTGAAATTTGGCTAATGCTTGTTAAATATGCCAGTGAAATCGTTTATTAATAAGTTTAAAAAATTCCTCATTTTGTGGACGATAAAAATTTGCCAATTTCTGAATAACATCTAATCGTATATTTGGATGAGCTCGGCCTTTTGTTTTTCCAAGACAATGCAATGTATCATCTTTGCGTAATACACATGGAAAACCTTTTAATGGATCTGTTGCAAAATTTGATTGTCGAACAACTGTAATAATTTATTTCAAAAATTTTTAATTTCATATAAAATTTTTTTTAGCAAAAAGAAAAAGAATAATAAAAATATAAAATAAATATAACCTAATAAAATTAATATAGTTTAACAATGATTAATTTTATTATAATATAATTTTTTTATGCTATATGAAATAACTGTAATAAAATTACAGTTATAGTTTTATGTGGCAAATGTAAAAAGAAAAAAAAAAAAAGAAAGAAAGAAATGATATTAATTCAAAATTTTAGCTCATAATTTTATCATAAATTGAAATATTGGGCAAAAAAAAAAGCTTTTTTAAAATAAATTCATTCATTTATTCTACCTGGTTTAACAGTTAAAAATCGTTCAACAGCATAAATTTCAGCAGCAGGATTTGTAATCAATCGTTCACCATCCACAAAATGAATTTGATGAAGCGAAAAATGTTGAAGCCATCGTCGGATATGTCGATGATAAATTCCAATTCGAATTGCACCCCATGAAGCATTAACACCATTTTTCATACCTTTAAATATTAAATTTCTCGATCAATTTTTTTTAATCTTACTTTCTTTAAATCTTATTTTTAAAATCTTTCTAAAAATTTCTAATATTAACAAGTTGCTTTTTTTTTTCAAATAATAATAATTGAAGCACCAACCGGTCGCATTTGATGAATTATTGCCAAGTACCATTTCTTCAAAACTTGGCATCAAAATATCTCGTCTTTTTTTGCTAATTGTTTGTGTATAATCTAAAATTAAAAAGAAAAATTTTAACAAAACTATGAAAATTATATTAGAAAATTTAAATCAGCAAATGATTTATTAAAATGGATGTAAATAAAATGTATTATTATTGAAAAGAAAAATTGCAAATTTTTATCTAAAATTATGTTTAAATTCTATAACTAATTGTTGAGAATTTTAATACTGTTTCAAAATAAAATATTGAAATAAAATTTAATAAAACGATTACCTGATATAGCTCTGGTAATTGGATTTCGTACAACAACAATTAATTTAATTGTTGAATTTAAACTATGAACACGTCCGGGAGCTGTTTTGCTAACAAAATATGCCGGTGTTTTTTCCACTGTTATTTCTGTAATGCTTGTTTCTGGCATTCTATTTCTGAAATATTTTAGAAAATTTTAAATAATTGATGCATTTTTTATTACTAGAACAACTTATATCAGTAATAATTAAATTTTTCTTTTCACTCTTTTATTGATCATTTTCTTTTTAAGAAAAATTAAATTTTAATATTAAATCAATATGATTTGCAGATGTTTATAGGCAAAAAATAAAAGCAAAATTTTATATTAAAATAGAAATTGACGAAATCTCTATTAAATATTTTATTGTTTCTAAAATTTTTACAATTTATTTTTAAATAATTTGAAAACATAGTTATGAATTTTCAAAATATATTTATGTTTGAGTAATTTTAACTTTTTTATTTTCAACGATTATATGAATATACAATCGTTTATTTCATTTCAATAATTCTTTTATTTCTCTTGTCATATTTCTCGCTTTTTTTTTTTGTCATTATTATCTTTCATTTTGTAATTTGAAATATTTCTCTTAAAAAAAGAGAAAAAAAAAGAAAAAAAAAGGAAGAAAGAAAGGGAAAGAGAGAGCCAAAATAAGGTTAGTTAGATACAATTTAATAAGGTGAAGCATGATTTGCACAAAAAAAAAGGCAAGAAAAGATATTTTTAACATATAGTATTAAGGGTATAATTTATTGAAATAGTCATTTGAAACAATAGGGTAAAATTGATAGACCAATCATTTGAGATAAATATGAGAAATAAGATTGTCAGTTAGTTGTCACATTTCAGGTTGACAGTATGTCGGTTACTTCAAAGACAAAAGTTTGACATTTACCCAACGTTAGGGGTCATCAACCAATCATCTCTTTTTAACAGTAAACGATCCTCTACAGTTACCCGTGAATATGATGTAACTGATACTATCCTTTACATCTTCTCTATTTTTCTTTTATTTCTTTTTTTTTTTTTTTTTTTATTCTATTTCTTTTTTTAAAAAAAAATTCTTTTGGTATTATCTTTGTCTTCTTTTCGTTTCATTTTTTTCGCCTATCTTTTCTTTC